AGACATAAAGAGGGGCTGAAGGACTAACCTGTTCACTGATGAAAACTTTAAATGCCAATACGGTGAGAAACTGAAAAAGTGGAGGCATAGGCAGGCCATCTATAAGGTTATCCTGCAAATTAAGACATCCAGAGAATTAAAAGAAAAAAGTTATCCAGAAAGCATGACTTACATTAACAGGCTATCAACCAGTTCAGCCCTAACTGTAATTTTGCAACACAATCTCAAAAAAATCAATGATGAACAACTAGATATATAAGGTTAAATTTACCTTCAATAGATTCCAACATTCCCAAAAATACAGTAAAAATTTATCTTCAGATATATCCAACCTGCAAAAGCAAGAGCAAACACAACATATTAAATATTACCTATCATATAAGACCAGGCACTTAAAAAGGTTTGATCTTTAAAGTCATTGTCATAATAGATTTAGCAGGCACTCAATAAAACCATCAAGAGGTGATACGGTAATTTCCCTTTATAATGAATAACTATCATCATAGGTTGGAATTGACTTTGACATGGTTGTCTATACAATTATAATATGATGTGAGTCAACGGTGAAAAATAAACTGATAAGAACAGACGCCACCCTTAATCTTAGCCAAAAAGCAGAGAAAGTTATGGTGGTTCATGCAATTTAACTGGACCAACCCAAAAATCGTATATTGACCAATTAAACTGTCCCAATCAACACATTGTTATGAACCAAGACCATGCAATATTTTCTCTTTTAACACTAACCCATTGATACGAATTCTTTCTCTAACATCAATGAGATGAGGGGAGGTAAAAAGTCCAGTTTGAAAGCCACACTCCCGTAAAATAGCTTCACAGAATGTGCAAGTTGAACCCTGAAATAGAAAGAAGTAAAGAGAAGTTAGCAGGTACCAATGATGCTCAAGTTATACTAGTACCAATTTAAGAAAACAAATCTAATACAAAATAATATAGTCAAACTAAGCATAACCTACCTTTCCTTTTGTTCCAGCAATATGGATAATCTTGAGATCGTTAATTTTTTCCTCCAAACCAAGAATCTGTATTTTTTCAGTACAACAAAATAATTCAGTCGATGCAGTTATATACAAAAACACACGCATAGGTGCA